TAAATCTTAAGATCGATCGTCTCCGATTGAGGGATCGAATTAAACATCGATTTTGACCTCTTCCGCGATCCAAGCTGATTATCTCTTTATATTTAGTAACGAGTGATCAACCTCTTAGAAAGCGAGATCGAGGAAAAGCCACCGATCGGAATGCCGATCGAGGATAGAAATGAATAAAAACTCGGGAATTCGAGGACGTGACGGCTTCTTCTCCCGAAAGTTTTGAGTGTCGTCGGTCCAATTGTTGTGTGTGTGTGTGTGTGTGTCTCGTGCCCATCTTCGTCTCCGTCTCCCGTCCTCGGATCGACATCTTCCCATCACCGGAAGTCGATTGCATTGTATGAATTTAAATTCTGTAAAAACAGAATGTGACAAACAGAAAATTCGTCGACATTCTGTTTTATAGAGTTTAAAGCGAGAGACCTATATTATAAAAAAAAATTTTACAGCTCAATTGGTCCAGATTACAATCCATACAAAACTTCATTGTCTTATAAAAACACCTGTTAAAACTCATTTTTCTAAGATAAAAATATTAATAATTTTTTTTTTTACATTTTTTACAGTCATTACATTTTTACCAAGTTTAATTTTGGAGGATTGTATCGGACATAAGAAAAATCTGCAACAAGAGAATCATCATACTTTTGGTTTTACAAACAACTTTTTATTATTAGACAGAATTATTATTATTATTATTATTGAGTTTTAATGACAAATGCATTTTGTGTTTATTTATTTATTTATGATAAAGCAAACATCACATTCATAAAAAATATTTGTTTCCTTCATGATCAGTGCAATTTTCGTGAGCCTAACCTTCACAAATCCTACACTGAATCCAGTCTTTTTCAAAGGTTTCATCATCACAGATGATGCAGTAAGTCTCTTGGTCTTCTCTCTTTTCTTGAACTGGTTTAGGCCTATTTACTGTTTTCTTTCTTTGTTTCTCTTTATGTAAACGATTTTTCCACCAGCAATTTTCCCTTAGTTGCATAGATTCTTTCTTTTTCTTCTTTCTTTCCTTTATTCTGCCGTAGTTTACCCATATTGTCTCGTAAAACAAAAACATTCCGTGGGAATATAATTCTTATCAATTTTAAACTGTTTCCGATACAACCCGTAACATCATAGAACAAAACATCGGTTACCACATACGTATTAGTAAGCTTGAGGAGATTTCCGGCCTACAAGTTAAATAAAAATAAATGCTGTTTTTAACAATAAACGAAAAAAAAAAACAACTTATTCTCATTTTCAGGCAAGCTATGACAGCCGGAAGTCATCTTCGTTCACTCAAAATACTATTAAAACTATCAAATTTTCTGCCACAATTAAAAACTAAAAATCGAAAAAAAAAATCTAGTAGCCTACTAAATTTCACTCTTGAATAATTCATATACTAAATGAATAATTTAAAATATTTATTTACAGTAAATCTTAATGGAATATTGTAGAACCTAATTAATTCGTATTATATACGTGGTAATTGTTAAATATTTTGTATTTTTAGTGTTAAAGGGAGTTTATAGAACATTTTCATAGCAATCCAGGGGTCCGAACGATTAAAAATGGCGAGTTATCTCTAACTATTCGTTAGGAACAGAGCTCGTAACAACTCTAGAGTTAATAGCTCCGTCTCTATCCGTGCCCTCTCTGGAATTTTACTAGGACACGCCTTACTGTAATGCCAATCCTCTTTTCCAGAAGAACGGTCCAATCACGTTTTTCGTTTCTCGTTTCTAGAACTTGGCTGATATTAATTACTATCTTTTTATTCTTCAGTTTATTACGTGCAGTTTTATCTCTAGAATATTGTTTTTTTTTATTCGGCAGATATTGATTTATATAATCAAAGTTAATAAAATTAATGCGAAATATAATTTAATGTATAACAGCGATAACTTCACTCTATTGTATTACCATTAGTATTACGTAATTTATTACATAGTTATACCAACTTTTTTGCCTCCCATTTAGTCAACAGTGATTGCATTTTTTGTTAATGTCAAATAAGGCTAATTCCAGATTGTTCTAAAGCTTTCCTTCCTCCCAGATTTAGTTGTAAAGCCTCTATAAGACTTGTTTGGGGATAATAATCGTGTTCTTTCAATATGACCAAGACGTTAACCGGAAAAAAGCGCACATGAAAATAGCCTACACAAAAACTGTGCTCAGAAAAAAACCATACTTTCTTGTAGTTTCTTGGTATAATTTATTTGTCTCATCTCTCATCACGGATAGAAGTATTTTATTATTAAATAATTGGTTTCTTTTCGTTTTTTAAAGAAAATTGGCGTTTATCATTCTATTTTCGTGGAAAAGGACATTATTCTTACGGATACCAATCAAACATAGGCACTGTTTCCTTCTGTGGTCTTTATTGTGGGAAACAGTGCTTATGTGTAATTGGTTTAAGATTAAGAATAGTGTCTTTTTATCCCTACAAAAGTAGAAACTGTTGTCTTTATTATAAGGGTTAGATAGTACTTTGTCGTGTCACTTGGTCTACCACAGTATATTTGTTAAAATACAAGCAGTGGCGTAACTAGGAGTTTGCTGTTGGGGATTTGGGAGGATGATTTAAAAAGTACAGTACAATACACAATTAGAAAAATACGATCAGAATCAGTCCCGCCCCTCGCTGCCAACAAATGATCGTGTCTTGTAAAGTGACTAGACAAATGTTCTAGAGAATCTATGGCAGGCGTGCCCAAAGTGGCACGCAAGGAGAAATAACCTGGCACGTAACATATCGCAACGTTTACGTAATGTATTATCTATTACAATATTTTAGATAAGCCTATTTATTGTGAGGTTCCAAAAAAATGGGTTGAAATTAAACATTTACGAGTATTATAGTAATTTGGTAAAACGAAACTAAAAAAATCGATCAAAGATCGGATTAATTGTGTTAGTCATATGAAACCGCGACGAGCTATTGATGTAAACAGAACGCAATAATTATAAATAACTAATAATTGTAAACGAACGTCCTCCAGTAGAGATGGACCTTTGACAAGGCGCTCGTATACACATAATTAGAACATAGAAATTTTGGAAAGAGGAAAGGTTAATGATGAAAAGGGACATCGCGTCGGATCGTTAAATTTCAAAAACACCACAGACTAGACAACAATGGGGAAAAAATATGAGCGCAAGTTCTAAAGTTCCACGAACACTTCCACCCAGAATTAACGGATGGTGTCAAGTAGATTCTTCGAAGCGGATCTTCCTCGTGACTTGTCTTTCGCTTAGGGACAGTCGATTCCTCCTAGATGTCGGCAAACTTACATTATTGTATTTACTGCCATGTGTCTAATCTTCAATGGGCTGATGTGGGGTCTATGTACCCAAAATGCATCCCCACATTGACTTATTTTAATTTATTTTGTCTTGTTACAGTATACTGTATTAATATTGTTAAATGCTATGGTATGGCATTAATTTTTTAATACATAAATAACATTAATTAAGGCCTATTTGAAGAATTTTAAGCCATACAGGTCTATACGTAATTTCATTTCAATTGATATCTTTCTGTTTTTTACTTTAAAAATTTCTTCATACCAACATAAAAAACTAGCAAAGTATTGCGTAACTTTCCCTGCAAAATATTTAAAATTGTGGAGGCGCCATCTGTTATGTATTTAATTAAAATCTTTGATAGTTGTAGAATCAAGTTACGATTAAAATCAGTATCTCTTGATTTTTCATATAGTAAATACAGTGTTTTTGTTGTTAANAAAACTAGCAAAGTATTGCGTAACTTTCCCTGCAAAATATTTAAAATTGTGGAGGCGCCATCTGTTATGTATTTAATTAAAATCTTTTAATATTTGTTAATTATTATAAGATGCCAATAACCTTAATTTTGAGGCAGAGACGACTTTTATAAAAAAAAAATATAAAAAATTGTAAGTGGTAATAACGAGTAAAATCTTCATAAATACAATGCCCGTATTTATAATGTTCTGGTAACTCAACACGTATGTACTGTACTGTACAGAACTGTGCGCTACGACAAAATCTGGCGTGTACAGTACAGAATGACGCTAACATGAAGAAAGTCTAGAGTCTGTACGCTACTCTATTCAAGTCTTCATCGATTGGTTTATGTTACAGTGCAATGCCATGATTTTCAATATGGATCCGAGAAGTACCTTCAAGTTTTCTGGATTTTCTGGAGTTTATCGGGAGTTATGGTGTTCAACACTTCCCGAAAAGTACATTTTCTTTTGCTGTCCTCCATTTGTTTTTATTCCTTCCATAATTTCGTAACAATACCAATTCAATAATTAGCATATAGTAAATGCAACATCCGGATTAAGTTAATCTGCTCCGTAGTAAAATTAGTTATATTGTGATATATTTACAATAACTAAAGACCTTGTGTCGATTGAAATACGTCATAATCTATATAAACAAAAGATTTTCGTTCGTGAAAAAGCATACTGTATAGTATCACGCCATATTAGAAAGTGACATCTATACTGTACTGTGCAAGCAATATAAAAAAGTGGAGAAATATAAACTAAATATCATATTTAGTGACTATTTCTGCTGTAATTTTAAGTGTTTCTAGTCATCGGGACAAGCAAAAATGAAATTCGCCTTCGTGTTATTACTTATAATGCTACGCTATGCAGATCTAACAGGTATTGTATTTTAATTATAGGTAATCCTTGTGATTCTAGTGATTTGATAAAATAGATCGTAACTATAGAATGTGAAAAAGAAGAAAGTGAAAGTGAAGGCGGAGAAGAAGGCGAAAATAAAGAAAGCGAGGAGGGAGAAGAAAGTGAAGATGAAGGAGAAGAAGGTGGAAGCGAGGGGGAAGGAGGGGAGGAAGATGAAGGAGAAAGCGAGGGGAAAGAAGGAGGGGAGGGAGATGAAGGAGAAAGCGAGGGGGAAGAAGGAGGGGAGGGAGATGAAGGAGAAAGCGAGGGGGAAGAAGGAGGGGAGGGAGAAGAAGAAGGAGGAAGCGAGGGGAAAGAAGGGGAGGGAGAAGGAGAAGGAAGCGAATGCAATTTTGTAGAAGAAATGCAAGATATAGTAAAATCTGTTATTAATGTAGGTAACAATATAATTTTCTTTAATTTTGAATGTAAGGCCATATTTTTAAAAAAGAAACTTGTTTATAGTGCACAACCTCTTCCGTGTGTATAGTGCCGGTAAGTATCTTAATCAAATATTAATTAATTAAAGACCTACAATGATTCTCGAAAGTTAAACAAAAGTTTGAGAATATTTTTATATATTAGAAGTATAAAGTTTAATTGTGTATTATACTCGAATATATTAAACAAACCACAATTATTAACTTAATTGTTCTTTATTGCTCATAATTATTATTTAAATACCAAATAACACGGGGGCGATATTAAGTAACGGTTTTATTGAAGGGGGCGACGATTCGTTAGAGGTTGAGAAACACTGGGTTAGATAGTACTTGGTCTACCACAGTATATTTGTTAAAATACAAGCAGTGGCGTAACTAGGAGTTTGCTGTTGGGGATTTGGGAGGATGATTTAAAAAGTACAGTACAATNATAAAGTTATGAAATTTCCTGATATACTTATCGTAGATGCAGGGATAAATTTACATATAAGTTTTCTTAATGTATATAATAAATCTATTACTCATTCCCTTTAAAGTGTACGTAAACGGCGCATTCACTTATACAAGCAGACATAAATTTAATAATTTTTTTTTTGTTTTTTTGCTTCTAAATTTTTGTTAGACCTTTGAGAATCGTTCTGTAATATATATAATTACTTGTATATACTATTTAAATACATATAAACACTTTATTTTAATAATCTAGATCCCTAAGATTGAGCCTGAGCAGGTAAATGCTTCTTGTATATAAAGTTTACTAATAGTTTAATATAAAAATAAATAATTTAATAATATAAAAATAATGTTAAACAGTGTATGAAGATTCCTGGTGACTTTGTTGCTTTAGCGGCATGCGTTGGGATTGAATTAACGGAGAGTGGCGTGTTAGACGATATGAGCGGCTTAATGCCTTTTATTCCTACTGATATTATTGGCTAAAATTACTAAGTAAAACATAATTTTACGAAGATAAATGTTCTATTTAATTTTGTAAGTTTTGTAAATTTGCCTCAGGCAGAAAATATGTAAAAATTGTATAATGCTATATTAAAGTTAATACTAAGAAACGTGTTATATGTTTTTTTTAACGAGTTGAATCGTCATTAAATCTGACCTTACACGACTCCCTTTGTTTCCCCACCCCACGACCTTTAACCGCCGAAATTTAATAGCATCAATGCCCCTTAGATACAAGCCACCATGCCAAATTTCGTTACTTACTTTACTAAGATATTAAATAGACACTAACATACACATCCCCCCACACACATTTCTGTTACAAGTGGATCGATTGGTTAAATCATACTCCATTATCCGGGATGCAAACCACTAAATCCTTGTAGCAGAATTGACAATAATATATTCGCGTTGTTTACTATACCTCACCACAAATGTCATTTATTTATATGTGAATTTTAGGGCACCTTCCAAATCTGGACTCTAGGTAATTGCCTAATTTGCCTAGACCTAAGTCCACTCAGATCCAAAAACCATAAATTAATATACAGTACTTCTATTCGTAGAATAAACATAGGCTGTATTATACTAAATAGCAGCGAGTTTAGATTGTAATAATATAAGTGTAATTAAGAACAGCAACAGCTTCAAAACAGGTTAAAATGTTTATTAATATCTCTAAATCTATGATAAAACTTCAATATTTTTCTATAATAAATAATAAAACTCTCGTTGTTTTTACGGTTGTTTGAGTGTTACGCTATTTTATATACAGTAACTACGTCTTAGCTGCAATTCAATTTAGTGCTGACGAACAAATAGCAAAGGCTGTTAAGACGTCAGTCTTCCTCTTTGGGGGATGTGGAATCGAATTCGGATAGAAATCCTACATGTATAGGGAGTGACAGCCATGTTTTAGAACAAAACAGTACTGTAGAGCCTGTTTCAACGTAGGTGGTATATTTAGTGACGTTACGATTCTACTCATACGAGTATGGTATGAACTGAACTGTACAGTATATACCAGGTTTTAAACCTTATAAACTTATTTAAGTTGACAGCCCTGACGAAAGGGGAGAAGACGTTGCTGTATCAACGGAATCCGGGCCTTTACAGGGGTCCGAGAGCCCGTATTTTTAAGTAAATTTCTTTGTTTCTTTGCAAGATCATATCACTGTGATGTATAGATGATATAATACAGAAAAATCTTGGATAATGGAGATTGATTTAACCAATCGATCCACTTGTAACAGAAATGTATGCGTCAGTACACGCAAAAACTGTGTAATGTTGAAAACGTTGAAGTTAAACGCCATTTTTTTTCTCCTTGCCATCATTTATTCCATTTTCCACGAAAATTTACAAATGTGTAATTGTTTAGAAGCGAGACATTTTGGCATCCCTCCAGATTAATTAGATTCCTGCATAATCAGTAGCATGCCATCATTGGAAGCGGTGGAAGCGCCGCTTCCCTTGTATTTTCTAAAATATAAATACATATTACGCGATTATTTTTATATTTTAAAGTATTTTGGATTAATTAAAATGAATACAGTATTTTATTATAACCGCATTATATATCTTATTACAAATTTAGAAATTTGTAATAAGATATATAATGCGGTAGGGAGCAATTTTAACTAAGTAGATTGTTTTAATATTTAAAAAGTAAAGAACAGAGAAGTTGCGGCCGAAGTTTTCATCTCTAAAACGTAAACGTCGAACGTCAAGCGCCGCTATCTCGTAAGCGGCGCTCGACGTTCGACGTTAACGTTAATGAAATAGAAAACGAACAAACGAATACTAATGGACCCTGACGCGCGATTAACTGATTGCCCCTGTAAGTCGGCTTCTTAAAGAAACACAGCTTCCCTATCATCAAATGTCACGGCACGCTAGTGCTGCATATTTAATCTTCAACGCTTGATTCGTTAAATGGTTTAAAATCAAACACTTCTGGAACGATATTTTTTAATAGCTTAGAGAGTTTCTACTCAAATTTCTATTTTAAAAACACAAGCGTATGATGTATATGTTGTGTGTTTACTCTCTCTGAGTGTGTGTGAGTGCACTTACATGAGACGAGTTCATATAAATTTATATATGCATTCATTTTATACAGAGAGAACACTTTACGTGACTTGTAACTGTGTGTGTGTGTGTGAATCTTTCCTCTGTAAAGACTCTTATGAATAAAATCACAGAACAGTTATGAAACTAGAAAACAATTCCACGTGGACCACGTGAAGTTTTTCGTTTTTCTCCACGTGTCGAACACCTGAATAAGGCCACTTTTCCATACACAATCATTCCAGATCTCTCACAAAGCCAAATCTAATAATAGTTTATTCAGTAAAAAATATTTCCTCTCAGCTGCAATTTTTATTGTATGTATGAATAATAATTGTATTGTATTTTATTTTTTCAATAATTATTCACAAATACTCGCAAGGTCGAAATCATTTATATTGCACGTGGCACTATTAACATATAAATATTACACGTGGCTTTCCTGAAATATGGATTAACAATATTTGCAGAAGTTTTATTAATTATTGAATATTATGCTGAAAATTTCCAAAATATATTTATTATATTCTCCAAATTTTGCTTGGGTACAATGATGCGGAATCAATTCCATGTGTGCCTTTGCAAGTGGCTTTGCCCCAAGGCCATTTCAAACACTTATAAGGCTCTTGACACAATTTCTTTCCAGGCTTTATACAGATAGAAGTACGATAATAGTGAGACGAGGCCCTAAGAATGCAAGACTTTAGTCCATGTCCAGTTACGCTCGTGCGTTAATTGGCCACCGTCCTGCTTTTGATTAATGCTCGTCCTTCAGTACCTTGAAAGAACTCCATGTTTATAGATGCAAGAAATATTTTTCTCGTGCCTATAGTGGAATTTGATCAGGCTCACAAATGATGAGAAACAAAGTAAAACTACTCATAAATGTTCTGAGGTTTTCGGACTCGATTCTTCGCCGTACATTCATAAAATATAAATTTGATCCCAAGATTGAGTCCGAACCATACTCGATATGACTTTTTCTTATATCTCAAGAGAAGATTCTAAAATGTTTTATGAATTCTGAGATGACAAGGTAGTAAATGCATCGGACTGATACTTTGAGGGATCCTAGTTCGAGTATGGAAACTTCAGAAATGTTCAGGAGTAATTCACGAGAAATGGCAAAACATTCCTCGTGAAGTAGCCTACAATCGACTTTCCTCCTTTTTCATTTTTAACTCTTTCCATCCTATAAACACAACGAGGATCTTTTTCCGAGCACATGGTGGATTCGGCCAGGTCTATAACTGGAAACTGGGCTCTATGTATCTGTCACCAGTGGTCTCTTTAGCGACATCACACAGCTGGCCAATAAGAATGTAAACATGAATGGAATTTGTATTTTAAGTTTTATATTATTTATTTTACACATAATTTTAAATATTAAGCAAATTTTTTAAACTTCGAAAGGTGTTTTTTTTAAATGTAAATTTGGGTAGATTTGTTCGTTATGTAAAATACTATAAATTGTAAGGGAACAGTTTATAGTATTATCTTTAAATTTTGAAACCAAAACTGAGTTTAAAACATACATTCAAAATATGATAAGTTTTCATACATCTGTGATGTATTCTGTTATTGAAATTAATTCTTTTTCAATGTGATCTATTCTTTTGTTGAACACGATCGCGGTACTCTCAACATTGTCTGCCAATTGTTGTAGTCTAATGAAGTTGGCTTCTTGAATCTTCGAATCCTTTGAAGAATGGCGACTTTTATCTTATAAAAAAGTTACAGATTTGTGAATCATCATCATCTATATTTTACGTTTAAATTTTAAGTTTCTGTAGCATTTTACCTTGATCTTTAGATTGAATCTTGCGAAACCATTTGCACAGTGAGCTGCAAACTTTAGTTTTATCAGTTACCTTTTCCGATTTATTCTCTGCAACGATTAATATGTTGGAATTTTGGATACTTTTTCCATTATAAACAGGTTTATACAGTGTTGGAAGTGTCCCACCTAAGCTGTATCTATACACCACGAACGTCCGGATTAACTTAATCTTCTGATAGTTAAAATTAATTATATTAATTATATTATAATATTTTTCAATAATTATAGACTTTGTGCCAATTAAAATATTGAAAAAAATACTGTAAAAGTATCACGCCTTATATAAAGAGGCGCGTGTAGTGTTACGGTTTTATACAGAGAAATATAAACTAAATATCACATTTAGTGCGTACTTCTACAGTAATTTTAAGTGTTTGCAGTCATTGGTAACACGCTAAAATGAAATTCGTCTTGGTGTTATTGCTTGGAATGTTATGCTACGCAAGTCTAATAGGTAGTATCTGTTTGTTAATTATAAGTAATGTTTATGATTCTAATCAGCCACTAAAATAGATTGTAATTATACAATGTAAAGAAGGCGAAAGTGAAAGCGAAGGTGGAGATAAAGAAGACAAAGAAAAAGAAGAGGAAAGCGAAGGTGGAGATAAAGAAGACAAAGAAAAAGAAGAGGAAAGCGAAGGTGGAGATAAAGAAGACAAAGAAAAAGAAGAGGAAAGCGAAAGTAATGATGGAGAAGTAAGCGAAGGTGGAGAAAAAGAAGGGAAAAGCGAAGGTAATAATGCAGAAGAAAGCCAAGGGGGAGAAGGCGAAAGTAATGATAAAGAAAAAGAAAGCGACGAAGATGAAAATGAAGCAGAGGAAAGCGAAAGTTAAATAAAATACAACAGAAAGCACAGATGTGGTTATAATAACTGGATAGAGAAAAGATAGAGAAGAGGGCGAAATGAGGGCGAAGGAAGTGAAAAAAGAAATACATGTTTTATCAGAGAAATGCAAAATATAGTTAAATATATTATAGTTATTAATGTAGGTAATAATATAATTTTCTTTAATTTCATATGTAAGCTCATGTTTAAAAATAAACACTATTATACTGCACAATTTCTTAGTTTAATTCCGATAAGTTGCTTAATCAAATATTAATAGAAAAATTAATTTATTGTAGATGAAGGGGATGATTTGCACAAGCCGCTGTTTAAGGTCTCAGCTTATGAGTCTGTAGCTTAGGCCTCGTATTTTTAACAGTATGGTTATTTTACGGAGGACACAGACCTGTTATGTTATAGCTTAAGGCCACAACAAATGTTCAGCTCCTGTACATCAGGGTCGCGGCTAGAGCATTGTGGCGCCAAGGGCAAACTTAAATATGGAGCTTTTCGTCTGTTATACATTTAAAAATCATAATAAATGTTATTAAAATTCACGGCAATATTTGCTCGATTCGGTTATTTGTGGTTAGGCAGTGGTGCGTTACCTTAAGGTAAAAAGCGCAATTGCCTGGGATCCCACAAACAGGGCCCCAAACCAATCTTTTATAAGACAATATTCCTCTCAAAGAAGAACTTCTGAAATCGACACTGTACATGGGGCCCCCTAATTCAAATTTGTATGGTCTTCACGAAGGTATAACGCTCCACTATTGATGGGGCATGGCACATGATAATATAATTTTTCATACTCGTATGTGAAAGTTTTCTATGAATTTATTAGTTCTCCCGCGTTACAATTTTGGAATTTTGGTGCCCCATCTTCTTGGCGCCTTGGGTACTTGCCCTCTCTGCCCTACCTCTCGACTGCTCTGTTATATAGATGTTTATAACAAAATTCCTGTATTACATGTAAAACACTGCAAAGTTTTCATGCATTTTAAGGAAGGATTTACTCATTCTTCTTAGAGTAAACTACACATAAACTGTATATTCACTTATACAGGAAGATAGACAGGGAAGTATGACTCATTTTTATGGCTTCTAAAGTTCTGTTACGCCTTCTAGAACGGTTCTAAATTTCAAGGAAGTATATATATTATTTTTAATTCAAAATCACGTAACTTCCGGTCTATTCCGGAAGGTCTTGTACAGTTAGTCGGGATCTCCGACCCTAGGTTTTCCATACCTAATCAAGATTTTAGTGGTGTCTTCCTCTGTAAATCATACTTCTCCCGATAACAATCGAGTCATGTCGGTCATCTATCTAACATGTTCTTGAGATTAACGAAAGACAGACAGGAAGACGTCCGACTGTAGAAATGTATAGGCCTGAAATTTGAAAATTGCAGACATATACCTTCTCACTGCCTGTTTGTCTGTCCTTCGTTAATCTCGAGAACATATGAAAAGCTTAAGGTCGAAGGCCACGATTAACTATATACAAACTTCCGGAAGAGACAGGAAATCACGTGATTTTTCGTAAACGAAAACACTTCGAATCTTGCACTTGTACTCAAAGCATGCCATTCAGCCTAAATTTTCATTTTTTAACTTTTCCGGCTCTGTTATATATAACAGGGGGAAAATATGGCGATCAGTTAAGAGATGACCCCCAAGATTTTTACATTTTTGGACTCAGAGGACCTCAAAAAATCGAGAACGTTAGTGTGTGTGTGGGGAAGGATATGATTTGGTTCATCTTCTTTGAAGCTTAATAACTCCTATGCTTTTAGTCTAAAATTTCTAAAATTTTGCAAGGAGGTTTGTATATTAGGAGGATTTATGTTATTAAATTTTGACGGTCAAAGGTCGACGGGGTGGGGAGATAAAGAAGATCGTATGTCATATCTCGAGTAAGGTCGGACTTAATGACGATTGGTTGTCATGGTGACCACCGTCACCATGACAACCAATTGTTGAAAAACTTCATTTATCTAGGTCAGCATATTTGTCTCTCTAGTCCTGTGGGGTTTTTTGACGATTGGTTGTCATGGTGACCACCGTCACCATGACAACCAATTGTTGAAAAACTTCATTTATCTAGGTCAGCATATAAGTCACTATAAGCCTGGGACGCCCTCTAGTGGGCGTTATTTACAAATTTCCATGAGGCACGGTTCCTTTGACTTTTTTCGTTCCTATCAATATGCTGTACAGCTCTGTTAAAGTCCCAATGGTAAGATTTACCCTCCGAATGAAGAGGTGGCGACCCCCCCAAACTGTAGCCCCTGTGCGAACAATAAAGTCAAAGGAACCATACCCCTACTCGCGACCCTTTGCCAAATATAAGCTCCTGAATAATAAATTCCTATTACAAATATACTGAATTATTTATATTGTTATATTGACCAAATAATAATAATAATTTATATTGTTAATTTAAATAATAATTAAAATTGTTAATTTGAATGTTTGAAATATGACACACGATAGGGGCGCCTCTAGTGTCCGTTATCAAACGGTTACGGGATAGACAGACGGATACCCGTTGAATGGGTTATATATATAATATAGATAGGTCGTTACCATGACAACCACACTACAGTTTTCCTCACAATTCTACCGGCTGTATTAGGCAAGAATAGACACAAACAGCATTTTAGGATCTTAGAAACGCCCGTCGACCCGAATTATAATCTATATCACGCACTAATAAACACACACGTTTTCGGCCCGTTCTCTGTTCCTATTAACACTAACGACTTTTCTCTCTGTAGTAAGCAGGTTCGACGCCTCAGACATTCTCTCAGAAAATTTCAACCATCAGGCATGTTTTTTCAATGTAGTATAGTGACTTAAACTTTTAAACACCATTTGTCATATATCGTTTTTTCTTAAAAATATGTAAATATCCCTTTGTTATTGCAGTTTTGGGGCTTCCTGACCCTCTAGGCACACGTAAATATTAGAAGCTGTCTAATCCTTTCCTCCCACGTGCATTCTCTTTGAATGTCCCTCTCTTAAGTCCTATAACTTCTGTTTTAATTCAAAAGTTCTCTCTTTCCCCCTAACCAATACACCATTTCTACTCTTCTGCTACAGTAATTATCGGGAATTACATGTAAAATGGGGCACAATATTTTAATATAAATTTAAATTATACGAAATTTTGGGCTTAATATTAAGTGAAAGGTGATGCTAAATATATCATAAGTACGGTACATTTACTAAGGGATATTAATAGAAGGCCTGGGAGCCCTATTGTATAAAAAGATGCATTATTTGTCGTTTCCCCTCTAGTTTAATTTTATCTACCTCATATAATAGAGGACCTAGGACTTCTATTGTATAAAAAGGGTCATTATTTGATTAGAGGTCAATGGTCAAAGGTCAGGGACCTGTATTATATCAAAATTTAGTAAATTTTAAAAGTCATGATGCAATATTTGTCTACTTTTTATTAAATGGGTCAAAGGTCAAAGTATTGTTTTATTTATAGAATACAAAACATGTAATAAATTGGCATTACTTTATTTATTGTGATCCAAAAGTATGGCTGATGCAAACGATCAAGTTTTTTTTTTATTTTTTTAATGTCTGCATACAAATAGATCTATATTATTAAAATATAGTAAACAACCTTCGAAAAAATCCAGCAACGAGTTGCTTAACTTTCCCTGGTAACATTTAAAACTGCGTGAGTGAGTTGCGCCATTTGTTATGATATTTTATTCAAAAACTTTTATATTTTTATATTATAATAAACGGCAGAAAGCTTAACTTTCGGAGTGAGGATGGGTTTTATAAAAAAATTGTAAATGCTAATAACGAGTGAAATAGTCATTAAGTCCGACCCTATTCGAAATACGACACACGACCACCATTTATCTCCCCACCCCGTCGACCTTAAACCACGAAAATTTAATAGAATCAATGCCCCTAATAAACAAACCTCCCTGCAAAATTTCAGAAATTTTCGACAAAAAACACAGGAGTTATTAAACTTCAAAGAGGTTAACAGTGAATTTAAAAGCCCACTAATTGTTCTTATTATTAGTGATTTCTTCAACTGTCGTTTCGTTCTTTTATATTTCTCTTTTATAAATATCTCTTTGGAAGCTTGTTTAAACTAAGTTAATGGCCTTTTAAGTTCTTCAGTATCTTGTAATTACTAACTGAATAGTTCAAAAATCAGAAAATTACGTTTAAAAAAATTGAAAGAAATATTTAAATATTAAAATTTTATTAGTAAAATTGTATATTGAAGTATTTTTATATTGAAAAAGTTTATTAATTATATATACAATGAGTGTAATCACTGCGAGACTAGCTTAAACTGATAACAATAACCGAGCGATATCATTACGCGGTGACTATAATTATAGGAAATTCTATTTAAAACATGTTAAAAGATAATTAATTTCAGCCAAATTCTAGAAGCGAGAAAGGAGGTTGGACCGTTCTTCTGAAGGAGTGACATTGCCGTAAGGCGTGTCCTATTCAGTAAAATTCCAGAGAAGGCAGGGATGGAGGAGGAGCTATAATACTCAAGAATTGTTACGAAGCTCTAATTGTTTCCAATGAACAGTTAGAAATCTGTTTTTTATCACGCCAGCGAATGATTGTCCTATCTGCTGAACACATAAACGAATGTATATAATCACTAGATAATTTATTAAAGTGTATTTCGTTAACAAGTTGATTCGGAAATGTCCTCATTTTGGGTTTTTCAATGCGGTAACCACATTAACTTATAAGATACGTGGCTTTAAATTTTATAAACTTATATAAATGTAGCCACTAGAACCCGTTTGCCACGATAATCTGTAAATGTATAATTATTTAGGGGCTAGACATTTTGGCCTCTCTCCAGATAAACTCAAATTTCTATAACTAAACACGTATCTATTATGTATGCTCTCTCCCTCTCTGTTTGGGTGTGTGCACTTACCATCAGACGTGTTACATTTACAGTATATGTGCATTTCTTTTAAACACATAGATTGTGCTTTATAAGTGACTGCGTAATAAAATGAAACCTCTGTAAATTAATAATAATAATAATATCATCATCCTAAATCCGCCACAGAAAGATTAACCCTTCCACGTAAAGATAACGGACGTGGCCTGATTGACATAGTTAACCTTCACTACAAACAAATACAGTCACTGCGAGAGTTTTTCTACAGGAAACAAAAAACATCACAATTACATAAAGCAGTAACTCTAGCAGACTCAAATAGCACACAATTAAACTTACACTCACATCATACAGACATGACACAATACACAAAAAGCATAGACACCATCAAGCAATCGTGGGCTCAAAAGGCACTCCATGGCAGGCATCCTTATGACCTGGGCCAGGATTTTGTTGACAAAACTGCGTCAAACAGCTGGTTAGATCGGGGATGCCTCTTTGGGGAGACGGAAGGATTCATGATTGCCATACAGGATCAGGTCATAAATACTAAAAACTACAGAAAACACATACTCAAAGATACAACACTCACAAATGACACNCTCCTCCTTCCTCCTCGCCTCCTCCTTCACCTTCGCTTTCTCCTCCTTCCTCCTCGCCTCCTCCTTCACCTTCGCTTTCTCCTCCTTCCTCCTCGCCTCCTCCTTCACCTTCGCTTTCTCCTCCTTCCTCCTCGCCTCCTCCTTCACCTTCGCTTTCTCCTCCTTCCTCCTCGCCTCCTCCTTCACCTTCGCTTTCTCCTCCTTCCTCCTCGCCTCCTCCTTCACCTTCGCTTTCTCCTCCTTCCTCCTCGCCTCCTCCTTCACCTTCGCTTTCTCCTCCTTCCTCCTCGCCTCCTCCTTCACCTTCGCTTTCTCCTCCTTCCTCCTCGCCTCCTCCTTCACCTTCGCTTTCTCCTCCTTCCTCCTCGCCTCCTCCTTCACCTTCGCTTTCTCCTCCTTCCTCCTCGCCTCCTCCTTCACCTTCGCTTTCTCCTCCTTCCTCCTCGCCTCCTCCTTCACCTTCGCTTTCTCCTCCTTCCTCCTCGCCTCCTCCTTCACCTTCGCTTTCTCCTCCTTCCTCCTCGCCTCCTCCTTCACCTTCGCTTTCTCCTCCTTCCTCCTCGCCTCCTCCTTCACCTTCGCTTTCTCCTCCTTCCTCCTCGCCTCCTCCTTCACCTTCGCTTTCTCCTCCTTCCTCCTCGCCTCCTCCTTCACCTTCGCTTTCTCCTCCTTCCTCCTCGCCTCCTCCTTCACCTTCGCTTTCTCCTCCTTCCTCCTCGCCTCCTCCTTCACCTTCGCTTTCTCCTCCTTCCTCCTCGCCTCCTCCTTCACCTTCGCTTTCTCCTCCTTCCTCCTCGCCTCCTCCTTCACCTTCGCTTTCTCCTCCTTCCTCCTCGCCTCCTCCTTCACCTTCGCTTTCTCCTCCTTCCTCCTCGCCTCCTCCTTCACCTTCGCTTTCTCCTCCTTCCTCCTCGCCTCCTCCTTCACCTTCGCTTTCTCCTCCTTCCTCCTCGCCTCCTCCTTCACCTTCGCTTTCTCCTCCTTCCTCCTCGCCTCCTCCTTCACCTTCGCTTTCTCCTCCTTCCTCCTCGCCTCCTCCTTCACCTTCGCTTTCTCCTCCTTCCTCCTCGCCTCCTCCTTCACCTTCGCTTTCTCCTCCTTCCTCCTCGCCTCCTCCTTCACCTTCGCTTTCTCCTCCTTCCTCCTCGCCTCCTCCTTCACCTTCGCTTTCTCCTCCTTCCTCCTCGCCTCCTCCTTCACCTTCGCTTTCTCCTCCTTCCTCCTCGCCTCCTCCTTCACCTTCGCTTTCTCCTCCTTCCTCCTCGCCTCCTCCTTCACCTTCGCTTTCTCCTCCTTCCTCCTCGCCTCCTCCTTCACCTTCGCTTTCTCCTCCTTCCTCCTCGCCTCCTCCTTCACCTTCGCTTTCTCCTCCTTCCTCCTCGCCTCCTCCTTCACCTTCGCTTTCTCCTCCTTCCTCCTCGCCTCCTCCTTCACCTTCGCTTTCTCCTCCTTCCTCCTCGCCTCCTCCTTCACCTTCGCTTTCTCCTCCTTCCTCCTCGCCTCCTCCTTCACCTTCGCTTTCTCCTCCTTCCTCCTCGCCTCCTCCTTCACCTTCGCTTTCTCCTCCTTCCTCCTCGCCTCCTCCTTCACCTTCGCTTTCTCCTCCTTCCTCCTCGCCTCCTCCTTCACCTTCGCTTTCTCCTCCTTCCTCCTCGCCTCCTCCTTCACCTTCGCTTTCTCCTCCTTCCTCCTCGCCTCCTCCTTCACCTTCGCTTTCTCCTCCTTCCTCCTCGCCTCCTCCTTCACCTTCGCTTTCTCCTCCTTCCTCCTCGCCTCCTCCTTCACCTTCGCTTTCTCCTCCTTCCTCCTCGCCTCCTCCTTCACCTTCGCTTTCTCCTCCTTCCTCCTCGCCTCCTCCTTCTCCCTCGCTTTCTCCTCCTTCTCCTTCGCTTTCTCCATCTTCGCCCTCGCTTTCTCCACCTTCTCCCTCGCTTTCTCCTTCTCCCTCGCTTTCTCCACCTTCTCCCTCGCTTTCTCCTCCTTCTCCCTCGCTTTCTCCTCCTTCTCCCTCGCTTTCTCCTTCCCCATCTTCACTTTCGCTACCTTCTTCACATTCTGTAATTATATTCTACTTTTATGTATCAATAGAATCATAAGGATTACCTATAATGAACATACAAACACTACCTGTTAGACCCGCATAGCATAACATTACAAGTAATAACACGAAGACGAATTTCATTTTAATGTACTACGAATGACTATAAACACTCAAAATTACTGTATAAATTGACACTAAATATGATATTTAGTTTAGATTTATTCTCTTATCTATATAAACTCGTAACACTACAGGTGTCACTGTTTAATACGGTATGACTCTATACAGTACTTTGATAAACAAACGGAAATAGTTGTTTAGATTAATTATGACGTATTTCAATTGGCACAAGGTTTATTGTTGTTTCTAAATATTATAATACAATTAATTCTAAGCGTCAATTACAGAAGATTAAATTAATCCGGACGTTTCATTTACTATATGCTAATTGTTGAATTGGTATTGTTACGAAATTATGGAAGATGGAATAAAGAAAATGGAGGCTAGCAAAAGAAAAAGTACTTTTCGGGAAGCATTGAACACGATAACACCCGAAAAACTAGCAGAAAATCCAGAAAACTTGAAAGTACTTCTAGGATCCATATTGCAAACCATGGGATTGTATAATAAACCAATCGACGAAGACTTGAATAGAGTGGTGTATAGATACAGCTTAGGTGGGACACTGCCAACACTGTATAAACCTGTTTATAATGGAAAAAGTATCCAAAATTCCAACACATTAAACGTTGCAGAGAATAAATCGAAAAAGGTAATTGATAAAACTAAAGTTTGCCGCTCACTGTGCAAATGGTTTCGCAAGATTCAATCTAAAGATCAAGGTAAAATGCTACCGAAACTTAAAATTTAAACGTAAAATATAGATGATGATTCACAAATCTGTAACTTTTTTTATAAGATAAAAGTCGCCATTCTTCAAAGGATTCGAAGATTCAAGAAGCCAACTTCATTAGACTACAACAATTGGCAGACAATGTTGAGAGTACCGCGATCGTGTTCAACAAAAGAATAGATCACATTGAAAAAGAATTAATTTCAATAACAGAATACATCACAGATGTATGAAAACTTATCATATTTTGAATGTATGTTTTAAACTCAGTTTTGGTTTCAAAATTTAAAGATAATACTATAAACTGTTCCCTTACAATTTATAGTATTTTACATAACTAACGAATCTACCCAAATTTACATTAAAAAAAAACACCTTTCGAAGTTTAAAAAATTTGCTTAAAATTTTAAAATTATATGTAAAATAAATGATATAAAACTTAAAATATAAGTTTCATTCATGTTTACACTCTTATTGATCAACCGTGTAATGTTGCAAAAGCGGATCATATTTCCTCTGCTGATCTAGTGAGAAAGAAAGTTATTAGGAAAACGATGAAATTATTCATAGTCATATCTTTTAGTCATGACTATCGTGGGTTTCAGTCTAACCCATAGAGGTCAGACCCATTCATAATGGACATAATTACAGAATCGGGTCAATATTTTGCTCGGTCTAGTGCAAAATATAAATATGGAGTTCTTTGAAGACACTGGAGGCCGAGAATTAATCAAAAGTAGGCAGCGGTAAATTAACGCACGAACATATCTGAAACCTTAGAGGCTTCGTGTCGCTCCACATTATTACTATATATGTATCCGTGTAATATCTATAAGAAGTCGGGTCAGGACCCTTAAATGTATTTGAAACGGCTTGAAAGCTTCTTTTTGGATCAAGACCATTCCGATTGGTCGTTCCTACTCATCTACGCTTTCTAATTGGGGTCCCCTCGTCACTAAGTGTAACGAGATCGAATCCCATATCGCGGGATCAATCAACATCGTCTGTCAATTCGATCCCAATCGATGATGATCGATCTTAGGACAGTTACCATCTACGAACATCAGGTGGCGCAGAGTCGCAAGATGGCGTCCACCTACAGTAAGTACATGAGATTGTGTAAAGAGTGGAGGATAGACGATACGAAAACTGGAAGAGATTTGGGACAGTTTATTAAAAAAGAGGTTCTTCAATTCTTCCGTCAAGGAGAAGGTACTAAAATTAAAGACGAAAAGGAGTGTGAAAGATATTATCAAAGCTTACACCGTATAATGAGGAACGAATATGGACAGAAATATAAATTGAATCGGTTATATTCTGCTACTGGCTTAACTCATAACGAATGTAAACAAATTTTGTCTACGGAATATTTAACAGAATTTAAGGATAAAAAATTTGGACTCAAAGATAGGATTCTTAGTAAGTTCTCCTAGGATTCTGCTACTTTATCGAGTAGTAGTCTATGCAAATGAGATCTTTAATTGTAGAAGTAACATCTGTACTCCCATCAATTAATCATTTTTTCTTAGATTAATTCATGGAATATATTCCATAAAATAAAGTTCTAAAGTTATGCCAGCTTTTATTTTTTGTTGTAATAATTTTATTATGATTTTCAAAGCTTAAACACCACATAAAGGTAAATCATATAAATCTTATAAGTTTATATGGGTAAAGATACAATTCTGTAGTTATAAAAGTCAAAGGAACTGGGGGTTTGTGTGTGACCCTTTGCAAGATAGACTGATTTTGATGGGCTATATCTGGAATTTTAAAGACCGTCAAAGGCGAGATAAAATTTAAAAGTGAAACAATTTGTGATTATTTCTCAAAACTGCTAAGAATAAATTGTTTTCCACTCTACTAGAGATAGCTAAAAGCTCATAAAATGTGAGAAATACCATTGCCCCAACTATTTCTGGGTGTGATCAGTCACGCTGCACTCTCCGTTAAGTCTATCATGTATTTAAAAATGGCTGAGCTGATTTTGAGGGACTGTCTCATGAAGGGTTACATGTAGATCCTCTCTTCCTTTAACTATTTTTTCTCCTATGGATGTGGTGTACAGCTCTGATAAGGTCCCAACCACTTTGTTCAGAGCTACATTTGTACTTTTTTATGATATCTTTAATTTTGCTTTAATGATTTACGGTTACAATGTTAATTAAATTATATAAGATGTACCATACATTCAATTTATGTAATGATATAAACTCTCAATTACTTTACATTCTGACAGATAAATCTATGATTTCTTTTAATTTTATGCTCTGTAAGCAAAAAATTAAATTTTATCTCCTTACAACTTTTACATGATTTATAAAAATCAGTTCAAAGTAACACATAGCAAGAGTTGATAAATAATATTAAGTACTATTTATTTTCACTGAGTTTGATAGCTCTGGCTTGCTTCATTTCTGATAAAGGTTTGTTGACAGGTAGAGTACCTAGGGAAAAAAAGTATGTAAAAATCTATTTCCTATATAGGAAACATTCTCCATTAATCCCAAACTTTATAGGAATAGACTGAAGAGAAGGATTTTTAATTAATATGAAATTCTCGAAAAGATATGTAACTGTTCAGTTATAAATTTCATTTTCTCTGATAAATACCTTAAAAAATATTTAAGAATCTGTGATTATAAATTTGTTATAAAGTTTCATTACTTTGAATTAAATGTTATATATTAAATACAAGTATGTGCCACTTAATGATGGTGATATCATTGTGTTACATATAGCCTATACAAGTATTTATGTATCTATAAATATATTGAAACATGGAAAAGGTACAGGTGACTAAAATTTTCAGCTCAATTGTAATCTTTATGCGATCTCTGTTGTACTGTATATGAGAGCCATCATTAAGCAGTGCACACCTGTATTTGATAAAATTTTATATGAATAAACCAAAAATAAAACAAAATAAATTTATTTTCTTTATAATAATTACATATAATTGTTATATACAATTAGTTTTTTATAGAAAAAATATATTTGTATTTAAACACAACATAAATTTACACAGTTGTATGGTTATAAAAGATTAAATAATTACTATTAATGCAATATTATTATATTTATTTTCATATAGATAACCTGCAAGTTAAAAATATAGCATTTTAAAAATTTTTTTGCTTTATTTTTTGATAGAACTGAAGTGAAAAATGAATTTAAATGCGGTGCTTTCTTTATTAACATTAATTTATTAATTTAAAATTTTGCATGCAAGTCTGATGGAAAATTACTACTAGTTAAGCAAAATGATACAACTATAAGAATTGTTATTTACAGTAGGGTGTTGTTTTATATAAGGCTTAATGTAAAGATTCAAATGTTTTTCCATTCTGCAGATAGAATGGTTAGGTTAAACCTAGGATGCATGGATAATTAGCCTGCAATTTGAAAAAATTGTTGACCTATAAATTCCCACTGTCGTCCATCTGTCTGTCTTTCCTTAATCTCGAGAACGGAGTTATATAGATGAAAGCTGAGACCATATACGGAAAGCCTAGGGACCAATTAACTATACGAACTTCCGGTTTGCACTAGAAGTCATGTGATTTCAATTCAAAAATTTTTCCCTGCAAGATGACCAACACAACTCTATTGTTAAAGGAAAAGTATGATGTACAGTACAGTACAGGGCATGCCAATACTAATTTGAGGTGGAGAGCATATATGTTAAATTAAATTAATTAAAAATATGATTAAAAATTGCAGCAATTAAAAAATGGGCTGCAATTTGTAGAATTGTTTTTCCTGCCGACACAAGCCTAATGTAAAACAAGACCATACTATATCTTATACATACATTAATACTAAATCATTACAAACATTTATCTTGAATAATTTATTACATTGAAATTTAAATTTTTAATAATAAAAGAAAATCACTTTTTTTCTCTTAACTCATGAAAAAAGACTGAGGTAGGAATATTGATAAATTCTGTATTAATGTTCTTTATTATAATATATCTATTAAAAAATATCATCATGCATATGAATGAAGCTGAATGTCTTATCTCATTCAGGAAAAAAAAGATATATATAAAAAAGTGCAGAGCACAAGATGTCATCTCTTTCACATATCAATGGAAAAAATATCTGTCCTATAAATAATATATGAGCATTATTTTCTTGAAAATAATTCCTTCAGAATGTGATTCATTAGTGGATAAATATGTTAGTTTTAATCATTTTTTCATTCATTGTGAATTTTTTATCACATTTGTCTGAAACTATATATTGATTTACTTTTTAACAATAATTATCTATGGATTTTAACATGGCCAACGGTAATTTATGTTTAATAATAATATAATAAATATAATTATAACTTTTAACAAAGATGAAACTTTGCTTCAGTCCTTTCTTTCCATTGTTTGCACCATCTGCAGTTCATAAAATCACAAAACTCACGGAGACGACCTTCCCTTTTAGACTACTGCCTCCATAGTAAAAATTATGTAACGTACGATAAAAGCGATGAACTACGGATAGTGCAAACAATGGAAAGAAAGGACTGAAGCAAAGTTTCATCTTTATTAAAAGTTGTAATTATATTTATTATATTATTATTAAAATAATTATCTAATAAAATTTATGCCATTTTTATTTGTTAATATTTGCCAAAAAAAGTATATTTACCACAAAATGAATTTAACTTCTTATAATTTCTATTTTTCATTCATTAATTAAAAAACATATAGTATTATTATATGTTGGCATTTAGATAGACTTTGCTAAACATGCCAGTTCTAGTCAGATTACTGAAATTAAGTAATAAGTGATCCAGACAAAATTCTGATTACATAAGACAGAACTGCTGAGTACTGTTGCTTAACCCTATGCAAAGCCTAGTAGCTCTAGCTGGTCCCAGAAAGGACATAGACTAGAATACAGCCAAATGTAAAAAAAAGCAATGATTCCAAGGAAGGCATGAGCATTAATACTAAAAGAGGAGGAAGTATTTTAATGTACTTGCATTAAAATTAAAAATTAATTTATTTTTAAGAATAATACTGATACTTTACTATCTATTTTGTGTACAGTGGGTGATTGGTTAACGAACATAATCCGTTCCAAGACTTTGTTCGCTATCCGAATTGTTCATTAACCGATTATCAATTTACCATAGGTTTGTATGGGAATTTGATTAATTCATTCTGAAGACCCCAAAAAATAAAAATACATATATACACAGACTTGCATTTTTATTAGTCATGTTTTTTTGTTTGTGGGGGTTAAATAATCTGTCTAATGTTGATTGCTTTTCTCTCTTCTTCAGGATTTTCAGAATTAATAGCATTGTAATTGTAGAGATCCCCAAGACTATTAAACTCAACCTGGTTTGTATGCCATTCTAAGACCATTGATCTGACATCCCCCACTTCTTCAAAAGATCTTTAATTAATAGCAGATATCGGCATTAATCCTCTTTTTCAGAAGAAAACATATCTCGCCAAGTTTCTTTGTGTTCTTCATTCAAGAGTTCTTGGTGTTCTTCTGTTGTCAGATCCATTTCAGGTTCCGTTAAGAGCTCTTCAATGCTCTTTATTTCTCAGATGTGATTTTTGTTACTCCTTTAGCTGCTTGAGTCTTCTTGATAATGCATTATCTTTCTTAGATAAGATTGAACTGCACCCTACTGTAGAATTGTTCAAGCCATACTGCCCAGCAACATCAGACATCTGTCCACTCTCTACCTTTGCTGTTATACTCTCACCTTTCAAAAACAAAAACTGACGCAAAACTTAATGAGTGCCCACCCGACAGTCTTGCAAATACTATAAAAGAATTGTTTGTCAGAAAAATAAAAGGCTGGAATTACAAGGGAGTATTTCAAAGTTCGAGGAATACTATCTGATCAGTATATATCGGGTTGAGCATCAATGTTGATGTCTCCCACGCTCCAAAAAGTTACCTGAAGACAAAGGAAAATCAATCGGTATTCACTATTTCCGTCGCTTCTTCTTATGTTTGTTCAGTGAAGTGTTCGTTGTCTGATCATAAAAATCTTTTGCAAAAGTGTTCGTTATCCGATTTGTTCGTTAACCGATCATCCACTGTAATTAGTTAGGGTTTATCAAGATAATTTCTTAATAAAGTATATAGTTAAAAATTTTAAATAATCAAAATAATCAACAACTAATGAATTATCTGAAATTCAATAACTCATATTTTAAAATGTATCAAGAAAAAATTGCTTTTTAATGAGTAGTTTGTGTAGTATTTACAATAATACTTTCAAATCTTTTATTATTATGTATATATAAATAACTGAAATTAATAATATTTTTCATAATAGCAACTGAATAATTAAACTATTAATATTTTGCCCTGCTCTCTCCAGCAACAGGTTTCTCCCTTTCATCCCAGACAGATACACCATCACAAAGACATATTCTTTTTGGATTCTGGAAAAGTCCAGCAGATCTTGCAATAATACCACATGCTAGTCTGAAAAATAACATTTTTTTTAAAAAGTATTTTTATAAAACATATTTTAAATACCTTTCTTTTTAATTAAATATTTAATAATTTATTGAATATTGATTATAATTTGGTAAATCAAGTCGTTATTATGTTAAATAACTAAGTTACAATTCATTAATTTTTGACAAGTACTTGATATTAATCATGAATTAATCATAACCATATAATGTTACTTTTCCTATTTCACATTTGTGTACAGTGGCAGCTTTAGAATGCATGAGGATCTGGCCAAATATTGACTTATGAAGTACGTTTTCCATAAATGTATATAATGGAAAGTCACGATTAAACAATACTTAATATGAATCCTAGTCATGGATTCTAATAAATACTGGATCAAAATTCACAATTGAGAATAATGGATTTGCATGTCCAAGTTCCCTAAAAGCACAAGATCCTAAACAAAAGTCTAAGTTGCCTGTGCTTAAAACTGCCATTGTATATGCAGCTTTGATTTTCTGGATTAATATAAAAAATTTAATGTCAGACTTTATTATTTTCTTATCTACAGCTTACAATAATTAAAAATTATTATGATTTTTATTTACTACAGTGAATATATATTTATTTCCATTTATGAAAATGTCATTTTTATTACTTACTTTTGTCCTGAATTTCCATCAATTTTTGATCTCTCATTGTTTCCTCTTCCTAAATCATCTTTATGTTCTGTGATAACTAATGAGCGCCCAATAATTTCCCACACTTTCACTGTTGAATCTTCTTTCCTAAAAACTGCTCTTCCATTTTTATCTGCTCTAATATTCCCTAAATCTCCATAATGCTTTAAAATAAAAACATCTTTATTAAATGTTTCAAGTAATTAAAATGTTTTAAAATGTTGACACCTACTCTTTCATTATCTTCTGGACTTCCATGCATTTTATTACTCGGATTATAATGTCCTCCAACACTATAGAATTTTTGCACTTTAATAATTGAAAATTTAGTTATATGATATTAATTTAAACTAGAATTTTTGACTCACTTCTCACAGTCATTTGTCAAATCTCCAAATTCACATATGTGAAGACCGTGTTCTCCCTTTAAGCCATCAACTGTTCCGTCAATAATACAACTGCTATCATTTATATGTGCAAATCTGACAATTCCCATTATGCCATTTTTTCCAAAGATTTCAGCTACTGCTGCTCCACCTAGAAGAGCAATTTACATCAATTAACAAAAGAAAACTCTATAATTTAACATGAAAAACATACCTGAAATTGATCCATAACCCTTCAAGACTGCCCGTCGTCCGGTCTGTTCAATGTGATGTAGAATCTCCGAATAAGGAAGACTGGTTTCTACCACAACTTGTTGGTTATTCAAGTCAATCTCGACTTTCTTTACATCCAAATTCCGAAGAGCTCTCTCTACTGAATTAACGCATGACTGACAAGTCATTTCAACATCAAACTCAAGCTGGAATTAGGTAAGTTTTATTTAGTTTCTTGATAATGATAATAACGTAATAAAAATCTTAAGCACATACTACCATCATTTTGACGCCATGTTAAGATAGGAAGCATGCTATGCCAATATCTTTGTATGGCTGGTTAGGGTTTCTCATTTCACGGTCTTTTGCTTGTCCTGGGATACTGGCAAAAAGTGAACTGTTTCCCGTGATCCCAGGAAGTCCCGGAATATAATTAATTATTTTTAAGATATAAAATAAATCTTAAAATCAAATGATGTAATTATTTTTCATTTTTAAGTAACTTAATATGTCCTGCAACATCCAAAATAATAATAATAATGCTGTGTAAAATATGTATAAAAAATTTCTTTTGAATTACATAGAAATTTTCACAAATAGAAAAATTTATTAGTTTGTTGAAAACTGCTTACAACAAAAATGCCTTTGAATTGAGTTGAAAATTTAAAGAAAAAAATAAACTTAGATTAAACTTCTAACTTAGAAGGTAATTTTTGTTTTTTAAATAAAACATGATATTTGTAACCATTATAAAAAGCTTACTTTTGAGAAATGGGTTTTATAAAAAAAATTATAAATGCAAATAATGAGTAAAATTATACTGTAGTATAAACTATATGCCTATGTATTATTATTATAGTTTTATATAAAACTAAAGTAAAAAATTCAGCAACAATTTGCTTAACTTTCCTGGNGTTTCTCATTTCCAGGTCTTTTGCTTGTCCCGTAATTTCGGGAAAAAAGTGAACTGTTTCTCGGGATACCGGGAAATCCCGGGTTAGAATTAATTATTTTTAAGATATACGAAATATCTTGAAATCAAATGATATAATTACTTTTCATTTTTAAAGTAATTTAATACGTTCTGTAATCTCAAAAATCATATTAATAATGCTGTGTAAGATATATATTAAAAATTATCTTTGAATTACGTGGAAATGTTCACAAATAGAAAAATAAACTTATGTCAAGCATAATACATAATACAACATAAATACAAAATAAAACATAATACAAAGATACAAAATATTATTGTAAATTTTTATAATGAGATTTTAGAAAGCAAAGATGGTCAATACTCCGATCACTCAATTTGATTCTTATTTTACTAAAGAAAAGTCCAGTTACCAAGAATGCCCTTTCCGATTCAATTGGAATCATCTTTAATGCATTTCAGAGAAGACAGATGATTTGTTTTTTCACCTGTAGCCTGGAAGATTTCTAGTACATTTTCAAGATGCGTTACAGTATTTCATTTGCCATCTAGTATTCTTGATGTGTGTACCTCGACTGCTTCAATAGCAGCATCAAGCTTACAGCCTGATAATTTGGCAGTTCATTTGGCTTTAATAATCAGGTTTACAAAGAAAAACTTCATACTCATTTGTATCCTGGTCCAATTTGCACAATCTGGCATAATGCAGTTATTGAAGCTACCGGGCTCTGCCTGGTAGCTTCAATAACTGCATTATGGGCGAACAGAGTGGCCGCTCCAGGTGCTAAGTCCTAGGGGGCACCTCAGTGGTAAAGAAAATTAAAGGGTATAAATTAAGGGCACCCAAGGGGGGCACCATAATAGGATCTCGCTCCATCCTAAAACTTGCCTCGAGCCGGCACTGTTACCGGGCATGGTTAAAAATTAAGACAGCATAAGCACAATTATTCCAGATATTACAGGTTCTGACAAGTAAAGAATTTTCAGAGTCCTGTCACAAATAGGCTACATATTGATTATTGACAATCTGTGACATGACGTAATAAGTAAAAATTTAAAAAACTAATAAGCGGATTTAAAATAATAAATACAAATGTATTCTGACAGTTTATGGGTTAAGAATAATATACACTTACTCAATACAGGCAAGCAGAAATATTGGCAGGGGGCACACTTTGTAAACAGTGGCGCTTTCCGTTCAAACATGGCAGCGAAATGATGGTGCGTTTAAAGCGTCATTTCCATTTATATAAAAAAATATATATAAAATATAATTCTTGAATTGCTATTACTTTTTATCTACAATTAGTACACATGAAATACTATAAAATGTGCTGTAAAATACTTATACAGAGTTCAAAAATATCGATTATGTTAGTTGTCCTTCACCCGGATCTCAATATAGTAACGCTTCATTAGCGATGTTTACATTTTTTAAGAGTATGATAGATTTTAAATATCAGAATTTGAAGATGTAAATTCTGATTACTTACTTTAGCAGTCGACATTTCTTAATTATTAAATAAAATGATTTATCTAACAGTCGAACTAATGTATCCTTCGAATAAACATTCACATGGAAAGTCACGCTTTAAATTTTACGCATGTTTATTTCTTTCTCATTGTTGCCAGATGCATTTTAATAAGATGGCAACGCTTTTATTATTAACAGTGTATTAATCACTTATTAACTTTTTATTTATTTAAAACAAAATCATTTTATATAATTAAAATTTATTTTATAGTCGAAATATTAATTTCTGTTTATTATTATTATTATTATTATTTCCATCCTATGGACAGTAAGAAGCAGCTACATACCGACAAAATTTGGCATCTATTAGCGGTGCATTATATTGTTGATAAATAATTCATTCTCTCAAGTTTTTCATTCTACGGGGCCCCAAAAAAACATCAGTTGATTTGCTGCCCCTATCTTACACTGCTTGGTAATATTCACATTGCAAATTCCTGTGTTAAATTCAACTAAAGTCGCAATCGAGTAGTAGTGTGTTAGAATTTAGCGAAAGAATTTTTACAATATAGATCTCCAGATGTGAGAAGAAAAAATTGATGGCCCTTTAAATTTAATCACAAATACAGCTGCTGAATTTTGTATCAAAAGCAATGAATTTCTTCGATTTTATGCAAAAATTTAGGTTTTATTTTTCGTCATGGTAGAGTATCCGAATAATCCGACTCATATTTGATTAGTCGGATATAATACGACTAATCACACGGTCTGCAATATCAGTTATCAAGCAAAGTTGTAAGGTCTTAAAAGAAATTTTAAAATATATATATTATATTCATTCAATTACTGCGACAATGATATAGCGCATCTATTTCGCGCTATATCAGCCCGTTGTAACAGCGCATAGCACTTGCCTGCGTGGAATCGAAAGTGTTACCCTGTGAAAAATCTATAAATATTTAATTTTCCACATCTAACGACTCGGATTTTTCCATTTCTGAACAGTACTTTCTTAAACTTTCTTAATTCTAATAAGCGCCCTACAGTAGCCGGGTGCATAAATCCACTCGGCTATTAAACCTACTAATCGAAGTACAATAGAATATTAATTACATAATAAACAAATAAATCAGGATTTTATTATCCTAGTGATTTTTTATCACGTTATATATTAATTAAGTGAGACAATCGAGTTGCTTGGGTATTAACGAAACATAATGACAGAACTAAAGAAATGACATTTATGAGGGTGACAAAAAATGAAGGACAAGTGTAACCTAGATACCTGTTCTTCACTATCAGCATTATAAAATGACTGGTTCAGCTAAACCATCAATAAAGTACTATTGATGGTTTAGCTGAACCAGTCGTTTTATAATGGCCCTCTTATAGCAGTGCGAGAAGAAACTCAATGATTGTTATTTAAACTGCTCATCAAGTATATTATATAAGCCTCGTTAGATACGAATGTAATTTGTTACTTGTGCTTTACTTTAATTTCGAAGGCCTTAAAACAAAAACACTAAGTTGAGCCTTTCAGGCCTCAGTGCTGTGTGACCTTCTTCCATACAAACTACGATCTATATTTATAATATATTAATGCTGTATTAATAAGATATTAATTTACTTTAGGCGTTGTTTATCCACGTGAGATACAGACACTAAAAAGTAATGTAGTGATGTCAAATGGGAGAATCAAACTTTTAAAAATATGAATGTTCAAGACTGACTCAAAATATTTTACAGATTTAACAATGCGTTATTTATCAAATTCGAATTAATATAAAGGTAAAATTCACATATGAAATTTAGACTTACAACTGAAAGAAAAATTCTTCATAATGAAATTATGCTTCTAATTTATTGTATGATATGAATATTATTAATTAAATAAAAATAAAGCGACGACAGGATGACCATAGCTATTTGGATATTAATCTGTCTCTCTGGGGATTCGGAAACGGATACTTTAATTTTTGCTCTTTTCCTCTATGGACACTAACTTGTAAGAGAACCATTTTCCCACGTTCATCATGGGTTTAGTTTGGTTTGATGGGATACGGCAACACAACATATAAGCAATTTGTAAAATGGGATATCTCTGGAAAGGACTTTTGGGAAACTGAGCCATATTGGACACGTGAAGAAAACCCGGAAAACTCCACGCGACCAACTGTTCATTTGGCCAACGGCGGTCTCTATGATGTATTCGGCCAAGCCTACAATAAGAAAGTTAGATGGTGGGGATAGGACCCGACATATCCAGTAGCCTACAAGCTGCCCATAAAAAATTCACGAGTTCTTCTACCGCCTAGATTCGATTCCGGATCCCCAGAACGGCACCTCGGTCATCCTGCCGGAGTTGGATCGGATCAAAAAATTTCATCTGTAGGCCGACTTTTTGTTACCAGCCTTAATTAGTTGACGGTCGGATGGCCTATCGCTTTGATTAAACCCGGACGGACTAAAAATCCTCAGAAATTTTTGGGAGTTAGGTCCCGTCCTTCACCACCCGCTCGTCCCATTATGAGTCTGGCCGAATCCATAATGGACTTTGTTAAAAAAAAAAATCCCTATTAGTGCCTACAGGGCAGAGAAAATTAAAGAAAGGGGGCTATTCCTCTTAATGTTGGCATGTCGGAGAAAAAAAATTTTAATTAGGTTCGATTATAGCTTTTAATTAAAAGTGTTTTTTGTTTTTTACGTAGAGGGCGTATTGTTTCTTCTAACAAGGGCGGGAAGTTTGTAAGTTTCATTTTATAATTTTTACTTTTTAATTAAATATTTAATCTAAAATGTATCAAAAAGCGTATTTGTGAAGGTTTGTAGACTTAACTGTTGAAATTAAATAAGTAATTTGTTTAATAATTAATTAATATTTACGTATTTAAAAATGGCGGATCGTAAAGTTCGTCTGCTTTTTGTGTATTAGCGACCTCTTTAATGATTAATTATATTATTTATAAATTATTTTAACCGAATTTAAATTAAGTAGAAGTTACGTTTAGGTAATTAGGTTTTCTGTATTGAGTAAAATACTTGAGAAAAATACACACACACCAGCATTTCACATAGTGGCATTCAGTAATACTGGTTCTCACATTTATTGACTTTACATTGAGTCCACACTACTACCTTTTGGTGTTGCCCAAGCTGCAGGATGTGGACCTGGCCGATGATGGAGTTCGAAAAAACACGTGGTGGCTTATGTGCCTTTTTTCGGTGGATGGCCGTTCTGAGTTTTGGCTGTGTTCTGCTGGCTTTGACCGTGGCTTGGTCCTCGTCTCGGATCCTGGGCAACTCCAAAAGATGCCAGAGTGCCGACACATTGTAAAGTCAATATGGAATCCGGACAACTGGTTTGGGATCCACCAGTGGCCAAGCAGTTTCGTTCCCTGAACGCTGGGAGTTTGGGCGTGGGTTTGCACCTAACCTGGATGGGCTGGCCGTTTGGAGTTTTCTGGGTTTTCTCCACGTCTGTAATGCCCGTATAGGGGCCAGTTACCCTTAACATGACCTCTTGGAAGACATCCCCCTAAGCAGATCGCCCGAGTGTTGTGTTACCGTAACTTAACAAAACAAACAAACAAGCAGTTTGGTTCCATAGTTCTGTGTTCAGAATGTTGGAAGCTGAGAAGTATGATTTGCTTAAGAGTTGTCAGATTTAGTGATTTTAGAAGTAAGTTAACTTAACCATTTGCAATTGAAAATTTACAAGTCTACATATATAGCAGTCTCATGTAAAACAAGATCCTACTTGTATATATCATACTTTGTATTACATGAAATGAGTCAAAAGTTGCCTTACAATCCTTTTAGCAAGATCTGGAAGTTGTTGCAAAGTTACCTGTCAACTTACTTTGCAAATTTGCTTCAACTTCTAGATTATGCCAAGAGGATAATGTTTTTAATAGTAATTTTAATATATGGTTTAATTTTTGTCAATTTGAAATATTTGTTTTACAGATCATTGAAGAAATATTATTATCCAGTTAGAAAACATGCGAATGGCAAGTGAAAAGTTTTGGTAAGTTAATTAATGTTGCAAATTTTTTGTTGTATTTATAGTAGAGTACTAATTACATGAGGTAATGTGGACTGGATGTGGACTGGATGTAATGTGGATAATCAAAAGCTCAGTTAACCAGTATATAAAACTCAGTAAAGCCAGAATATGTGGTGTAGTGATTGGTGAAATACAAAATATTGTGTCATGAAAACAAAATTATAATTAAAATTCATATTATAAAATCAAAGCCACAAGAGTAAATTGTTTTTAAAACTTCTAGAGTCCCTTTTGAATGCTGTACATTATCCGGTTAAGATTTTTGAAATAAACTATAGTAAACTATAAAAAATTTTTAACACTGGAGTAGGTAAATTAGCCAACTTCACTGCCTGTAACTGGTGTTCTTCTCCTCCAATGCAGAGGACTTTGCAAACGTTTTCGAATCTAATGTGGTTCGAATTCGAATTCATATAGGGAATTCCATAGCACCTGAAGAAGAACCACATTAGGTTCAAAAACGTTTGCAAAGTCCTCTGCATTGGAGAAGAAGAACACTGGTTACAGGCAGTGAAGTTGGGCAATTTAAACTATAGTATACAAAAGTGAATCCCAAACATTTTTGAGCCATTGTCCCCTATTCCATAAACTTATACCCAATGCACCGTAACCAGTTTTCCCTTGTGTGAGAAAGGCATGGAAATATTCTTAGAAACACTTCTCTATGAACCTCACACTTTGTGTGCATACTGTACGGTGTTCTGTACACGTGGAAACCATTAAGTGCAATGTTTTTTCTTACCCGTTTTAATAGAGGAAATTGAAAAGTTGCCGGTGACCCAACCCTAGCCTACAGTTTCCATCTGGTACCTTGCCTCACAATTGCTTCTTTCTTTCCCCTAGATTTACTCACTGCCCACAGGGTGATAGCATCCACTTTGGGAATCACTGACAAAGTACTCTCCAACAATTCTTTTCTTTGCTGACAAAGTACTCTTTCCATTTTACCTTGGGTAATGTAGAACCTCAGTTAAATGAGTCTCTATTAATTGAGACTACTGTATTTAGAATATTTAAAAAACAAAAACTACTATTTATAAAATTTTGCCAGATGATAATTTAATTTAATCAAAAAAGAC